ATAAACAGCTGCAAAACAACAAAAATTCAGACCCCAAAGATTCTAGATCCACAATTCTCCTCTTCTCTTCTCTTCTTCAGGTTCTCCTGCTCAAGTGCACATGGCTCAATTTGCATTGTGTCTTCTGTTTTTCACTTTGTCTTTTTATAGCGCACAAATTCAATTTCTGCCGAAAGCTTTTGTGCCTTAAAGAGCTGTCAGGCAGAGAAAAATCCAACATGAAGCTGTAATGAAAGGTATAGCAATACTACTTGTAGATGCTATCTCTCTCTGTCATGTAACAGGCACAGAAGCATCTGTCAGAAATGGAATGCACCTACTCTAATAACATTAGCAGAACATTAAGAACATTTATGAATTGAAAACCAACAGTATGCTTTCTTTCTCATGCTTTCTAGTGTTTTGACCTTGGGTTCCACCTTTCCTTGGGCAAGGTATTGAGGACTTACTTAGCTGCAGAGTCCCGGGCCCAGGCATCGTGGCAACAGGGCCTGTGCACCATTGAAGGAGCTGTTGATGCCCTGGACCCACTTGGGGACAAGTCCAGGCTGATGGAGGCCAATCCTTCCGCTTACTGCCCCCCTTTGTGCTTTGACTACCAGCCGCATGAGGGTGATGAGGTGAGGGAGTGCTTAGTTCTGGTTCCTTGGGGATTTTTTTTTTATATTTGGGAAGGGCTTTCCTCTCTCTTAGTCTCTACTTCCCATTGTACTGTATTTCTCTCTTCAGGTCTCCGAGGTCCGGGCTGAGGGTCCCCTGAGAAATGAACTAGTCTCCCGCTTCCAGCATATTCAGTCTCGCCTCAATGCCATCACATTGGAGACCGACGAGGTGGGCATTGACAGGGAGCCTGGCAGTATGTCCCTTTCCTCTGACATCCTTGAGCCTAGATTTTTTTCATATAGTACCTGTGGATATTGGTGGTGGTGGACACATCGTGAGAAGACTTGACTTATTAGAAAAGACAACAATGCTAGGAAAAGTGGAGGGCAATAGAAAGAGAAGAAGACCACATGCTAGATGGATAGACTCTATTAGGGAGGTCACAGGTATGAATTTACAGGACCTGAGCAGAGCGATTGAGGACAGGGGGTCTTGGAGATGTCTCATCCACGGTCACCATGAGTTGTGGTTGACTTGAGGGCAGTTAACAACAACAGCAAGAGAACTGGGATTAATATGGCTCAGAACTTAGATTTACCTCTTAATAAGGTAATAAGGTCTTGTATGTGGCCTGCGTCACTTTAGATGCCATGTTCTTGCCATTATTACATTAATGAAAGGAAATGCATACATATTGGTTTGGGAGCACTCCCTACCACAGTCTCTTCTATGGCATGACCTCTTGTGCTCTCTTCCACCTTCATCCTTAATCCCATCTCCCTGCCCTATGCGCTACCCAGTATGTATTTTTCCCCCTGTGTAAAAATGAAAGTTAAAAAAATAACCAGTTCTGGAATAATGAAGAGGATGGCGGAGAGGATGAGACATTGACACTACATGAATGCGCAGTCCTGGAACTGCAACAGGATAGTTTACTGCACCTATAGACTAGCATGATTGGGACCTTATTGATGAGTTCTTACCATCAATGGCAAAGTGTGGGTTAACCACGAGTAGAGGACAAAGCAGCAATGAGAAGGAGACAATGTTGTGCAGATGGCTCTATTATTGAACTTTTATGATGGTTTAAATGCCGTGTATGATAAAGTCCTTCAACCCATGGCCTAGAGCTAGTGTATCTGAATGTTTCCTCATCCCAAAAGAGAAAGAGAGAACTTCACATTAAAAAATTAGAAGGCAGAGAAGGGTTTGGATCCACCTTGTCTCCTGACATGCTAGTTTTGTGTGAGAAAGGAATAACATGTATAGGGGAAATATAACATGATATGGAGTAATGTTTAATTCCCTATAGGCAGTTTTTCACCTTGTGTCTTCAGCATGAAGTTGTACAGACCCAACACAGAATTACCACTTCAGCAGGAATTATTAAAAAACCAGCAGAAAACACCACACTGTACATTTTAGAAGCATTGAAATCAGGCCACAGTCCTGAAACCTGGCTAAGCTGAACCCAGTACTATGCCTCAGTTGAATATAGTAGTATGCCTTTATGTCACAGTAAAATATCTTGTGATAAACTGTGCTCTGACCTTCATATTGCTTTGTAGAGTTTTCTTGCTTGAGGGTTATTTTTCCTTTTTTCCCTTTTGCTCAAACTGAGCCCACTTGTAGGTTTATTACCATAGTGCGAGCTAGTTCTTATAAGAGGATGGTAAGACAAGGAAATGGCTTTCAGATTGGTGAGTTGATTTGAGAATAAAATCTTCAGAGTTGTGCATTTGAGGAGAGCAGAACCATGAAGGGCACTATTACTGGGTTTTGCAGTAGTTTTAAGCTATTTTGGGAGGACTTGGGAGGGCAAAAATTACTCCTTTTTTAAAAAATTGGGCTTTTAGTGTTTTAGGGTCACAAATTGGGTTCCTGTGGGCTATTTTCCCAACTATCTCTGAACTCTGTAGCAGTTGTCCCTTTGTTTAAATAGTTCAAGAGATAGTGTTCCATTGTAGTTTTTCCGATGTTTTTATCATAGGGAGTAGATGGCAACCACTACTTATGTGAAAGAAAAGCACTCAGCGTGGCTAATGTGTTGTGGGATCCTTTTCTTCCTCTGGGTTTTGCTCCTTCTTAAGTGTCAGTTAGTGCGCCATAGCTGCACAAGTCAGGGGACCTCACTAGTCAGAAGAGAAGTTGATGGGATGTTGCAACTCAACCTTAAGGCCAATTGTACATATAGCAAGGGCCACATGCAGCTGTTTTGGTGGAATATTTAGGGAAATTTAATTTAGTGGATGTTTTCCTTTTCATCTGTAAGTATTTGAGGTGGACCAGTTGAGATGGAGCAAGATGTAGATCTGGCCATTGAGAATGATCCATAAAATTCAGTGGGATTAGTTGACAACTGAGTCTGCACCTACCTGTACATCCCAGCCTCTTCACCTGTACTGCACCATCTGATCTCCATTGCATAGATGCACCCCCCCAAAAAAAATCTTTCTCCAAACTGGGGAACCAATCTCCATATTCATTGCTATGCTGGATAGGAATGATGTGCGTTGTAGTCTGTTGCATCTGAAGGGTGCCTGGTTGGAGAAGGCTGCACTAGAGTGTGATGACACCCAAGAACATGTGTGTTTACCTTCATGTGTATCTGTGTCTACACACACCTGTGTATGTTTGTGTAATTATGTGTTATAAAAGGCTAAAAAAGCATTATTGCAGCAGATGCATGATCCCTAGCCCTTGTTAGATACTTGTAGGAGAAGACCAGCAGATAAGAAGATGGAATGCAGAGATCTTCCTATACTCACTCTTTTACTAAAAGCAATCCTTCTCCATTCTGGTTTAGGAGTCTGCTTGATGGAGGTGTGTGTATATGTATGATCTTTCAAAATAGCTGGTAGATTGGTTTGCATTACTAGACAAGTGACGATCCGAACACCCTTCTTTCCCTCACTGATTTGGCCATACAAATCCTCTTGCTAGCATCTCTTACAGCATTAGACAGGAAATCTGGGTTCTTCTGTCACATCTACTTGTAGCTTTTATGAAGAGCCAGCTGTCAACTGGGTATCTTTCCTTGGAGAGCGCCCTTGATTCAGTGTATTCTGTTTCCTTCCATAGGTAAACAAGACGCTGAAGGCGACCCTGCAAAGCCTGCTGGACCTGTTGTCAACAGAAGAGCCAGACGCACTTGATGCTTTCCAGGGTTGTCAGTCCACAGAATCGCTCAAGTCAACAGGCTCTGATGCAGGTGGGAAGCAGGCATTGGCAAAGCGTCGGGCCAACCAACAGGAAACAGAGAGCTTCTACATCATGGTATGTCATTCTAGATTCTCCAGACAGTACAAGTTCAAAGCATTTATATATCATGACTGTGCCCTACTTGTGACAAGGGCTGAGTCTCTTAAGGAAATGTGTTTTGAAAATATTTATATTGTAAGGAAAGAGAAAGCCTGGCAACATCAATAAACTATGGTAGAGACATCAGAATAGCAGTCACATTTCCTACATGAATTCACTCAGTGACTTTACTCAAGATTTTTTAAAAAAATCTGAGGCATAATATCCAAACGGCTCCCTTCCCACAATACAGAGTATAACCCCCCTCCCCCCCCCAAAAGGTTTTGTTGCAAAAAAGGAGAAGGAAGCTGGCATGTGGCATTGGAAACAGAAAATCCAAATAGTACCTTTTTCTAGTAAACATGAGCCAAAATCTGCAAGGACATTCTGCTCTGCTCTTCTGCCCCTTCCATCAATTTAAATGGATCCCTGCTTTTAATTATGCTTCCAGAATTTGCTTGTTGGCCAGTGTTGTTCCTATGTAACTTAGGACAAGGCATATGCTGATGGGGTTCTTCCCTCGTTTGCTGTCTCTATAGGAGGTAGCTCTGGAACAGAGGTGGGCAACTGTGACAGGCATGGGGCTAATTTTTGCCACTATAGATCCATGGCAGGCCACAAAAATCAGCTGAAAATTTGACCTAAAAGTAACTGGAAGTCACTTTCGGTTTTGAATTCCAGTTTTGTAGTGGTTTGGGGTATAGAGGGTTGAAGGCAATTGAGTACTTTGGGTTCTTTGGGACACAGTTTTGTGGGGCTTTGTGAGGGGAGTGTCAGGGCAAGCCTGGGGGCCAAAGAAAAGCCCATGGTGGCTGTAGGCGACGTATACCCGCAATCTAAACTTGTGACAGAACTCTCAGCCTGGACGTTTCCGGAGGCTCTCTGACAACAGATTTCTTGGTGTCTCTTATGCAGAAATTCAAAGAATATCTCTCTGGACGAAGCATTCAAACAAAACTGCAAGCAAAGCATGACCAGATGAAGGAGGCGATAGAAAAGGGTGAGAATGTGAAGGAGCAGATAAGTTACCAGTTAGGTTATACTGGTTGCCTTGAGAAACACAAGATAGTATGTACACCTGTATACCTGTATAGGAAGCCAGTGTGGTATAATGGTTTGAATGTTGGACTATGTCACTGGTGACCAGGGTTTGATTCCCAGCTCTGCCATGAATCCCACAGAGTGATCTTGGGCAAGTCACATGCTCTCAGCCTCAGAGGAAGGCAATGGCAAACCTTCTGAAGAAATCTTGCCAAGGAAACTCCAGGATAGATTCACCTTAGCGTTGCCATAAATTGGGAACAACTTGAAGGCACATAACAGCAACAACAATACCTGTCTAATTCTCCTGCTTTCTCACAACAAATCCTGGGAATTATAATTCAATGGGGACTCTGGAAAGAGACCAATAATCCCACTCTTTCTTTTCATTGCACAACTGATTTCAGGATTTCCTTTAGGAAAACTGATGGCAGTTATGCCTGTGTAAGAGTGAACACCAATATCACTGCATACACAAGCACCTGAAGCTGAAATTGACTGTGGCTGAGCAGACCATGGATGTGTATTTCACTCTGAAATGATGGGGTAAGAGAAACACACATGCACCCTGGCCATGCATGTCCAGTGACTTGAATATTTCCTAGCTGGGGAGTGAGCTCTGCTCCCTTCACTCCATTCCAATTCCATGAACAGAATATACACTGAGGGTGCATCCATACTGCAGAAATAAAGCAGTTTGACATCATTTTCAGTGCCATTACTCTATCCTATAGAATCCTGGGATTTGTAGTTTGATGAGGCATCAGAGCTCTGATAAGTGCAGCTGAACACCTCACCAAACTACAAATCCCAGGATTCCACAGATGGAGCTATGACAATTAAAGTGGTGTCAAACTGCTTTATTTGTGTAGTGTGGGTACATCCTAAATTTGAGTTGCTTTTTGTGCTGGCTTGTCCCTACCATACCTCAGGTGGTGTGTATACTCTCCCGTCCCTTCAAGATTTTGGCATATAATATAAATTCAGCACTTTTAAATGTGTTTGGGTGTTAATTTTTTTAAAACACCCTTTAAAAACACTGCTCTGAAGGGGGAAGAAGCTGGCTTTGTGATTGGAATGAGAGCTGATTAGTCAGCACCATGTAAAACTGCTTGTAAAGAAGGGGAGGAAGCTTCATAATCCACTTGGTTATCTGCTTATGTTGATCTGTGCAGATCCAGTTTGTGATAAATCCCAGAAAAAAGTTCCCCAGGAGCCCACCTTTATGGGAAAACTGTAAATGTCAGTGTATATATTTCCATGATATACCCACTGCTGAAATTGTGTACATCTGACTCTACCCTGAAATATGAACTGTCAATATTTGACCAAAGAGAATCTGAACTTTCTAGAGCTTTCCTCATCTTCTATTTTCTTGGTTTCTCAGGTGCTGCAGTGGATCGAGAGCTAGCCAGGTAAAAGGGACACTGAGAAAAGGATGCTCACAGGGCCAGGGGTGACGGGAGCTCTGCATATTGTCCCTCCTTGGGCCCAACTGGGTCGGGAAGGCTTCCTCTGTCCTACTCTGGTGTTTGAGGAACCCAGAAGAACTATGGGAAGGAGCCCAGTTCCAGTTCTTGGGGGAGTCTCTGACCTCTTCCTTCCTCCCTTCCCACCCCACACAAGGCCACAGTCCCAGCGCGTCCGGCGTTCCCGCCCTCCCTCGTGCTACCATCACAAGCTCTTCGGGGGTGACCTGCAGGCCTTTTTGGAGGTACTGGCTGCTGCCCTGAGCTACGTCCCTCCTGCCCAGCTCCTTCTAGCCCTGCTTTCTTGCCCTTTGCCTAGTATGAGAATTCTCTGCCTCCCTGGCCCTGCTTTTGCCTCTGGCTCTTTCCATTCGCACACCCACTGTTCCCTCTGCTTGAAATGTGCTTGCTGACTCTGTCTTTCCTGTCTGTGCTGCCCCAAGGAGGCGGAGGTTGCTGGCACGCAAGCAGGTACATGTTCTGGGAATGGGGTGGGGGGTAAGGGGGCAGATGCAGAAGAAGGTGGATGGGTGGGGTGGAGAGCAGGTTAGACCTGCAATGGTGGGGGCTGCAAAGAGAATACTTACCTTTTGTGCTGTAGTTGGAAAATAGAGTTAATGAACAAATGTCTTTGTCTTTCATTGCCCTGAAAATCACTACAATGTAATTCCAAGCCCACAAGTAAAGTGATGTGCATCCCTAGGGCTATATCAGAAAGTATTTCGTACTTCAGCTGCTGGTGAAGGAAGGGAAGAATGGGCAGAGCTAGGAAACATTTTTTTAAAAAATAAAAACCCATCAATTCCTAGAATCCCTCAGCCAATGTAGCAGTGGGATTCTGGGATTTGTCCAGGAAAAAAACCCCATCATACTTAATCCTTGGGTGACATAGTTTGGACAAAACAGATTTTTCCACTGTTGTGTTATGCTTCAAATAATAGTATTCAAGTCAAAGCCACCTTGAAATTAGAGCAGACTTGGGGGAAAGTGACATTGTAGAACCATAATGTTGGATCACAAGGTCCACTTGGTCCAACTACCTGCCGTGCAGGAAGACATAACTAAATTGTTCCAAAATATGGCCATCCAATCTCTGTTTAAAGACCCCCAGAGTTCACCACCATCTGAAGCAGTCTGTTTCATTGTTGAATGGCTCTTAGAATTAAGAAGTTCTTATATTTAGGTGGAAGCTCTTTTCTTGTAAAATGAATGGATTCAGATTACAAGTGAATAGGCTACCAGTGCGTGTGTTATGAGTGGGGAGTGTTTAGCATTCCCACACATCTTTTTGCTCTGGACCTTTGCTTTTCGTAAGCCATTATGATGTAGTAGTTTGGGTGTTGGACTAGGATTCTGGAGACCAGGGTTCAATTCCCAGCTCAGCCATGAAACCCACTGGGTGACCTTGGGCCACTCGCAGTCTCTCAAGCTCAGAGGATGACAGTGATAAACCCCCTCTGAAGAAACTTGTCAAGAAAACTCCATTATAGGGGTTTAGGGTCTTAGACGCCTTAGAGTCACCATAAGTCAAGAATGACTTGGAGGCACATGACAACAACAATCACCTCTGCTTTATATGGTAGAAGGAGAAAGATCCTTCAATATGCAGGTCAATTGCCTTCACATGTAGCATTGATTCTATGAAATGCTTGTGAATGCAGGTTGTGTATCCCTTATCTGGAATTCCAAAATGCAAAATACTCCAAAATCCAAAATTGTCCACATGGGTGGCTAAGATAGTGACACTTTTGCTTTCTGATGGTTAATTTTTCCCAAACTTTGTTCTGTATGCAAGATTATTAGAAATACTGTGTGTAAAATTACCTTCAGTCTATATTTATAAGCTGTATATGAAACATAGATGAATTTCAAGTTCAGACTTGGATCTAAGATATCTCATTATAAATATGCAAATATTCTAAAATCCAAAAAAGTCTGAAATCCAAAACACTTTTGGTTCCAGGCATTTTAGATAAGGGAGACTCAGTCTGTATTGACAGTCATCTAAATGTTGTTTTCAGTGTTTATTTGTGTACTTTTTAAAAGTAAAGAATGTATTTAACTCCAGGCATTGACAAAATTAATCTGGGATTGTGACCATAAATGTCTGAATGCTGATATTCATTGAATTTTGGACATTAGATATAAATCTAATAGTTTCAGACCTTCCTCACTCTTTCAGCCTCAGAGGATGACAAACCCCCACTGAAGAAACTTGTCAAGAAAACCCCATGATAGTTTCACCTTAGTGTCACCATAGGATGGAAATGACTTGAAGGCACTCAACAACAGGGATTTCTAAAATTGTTTAAACATCAAATGATACTGATTTTGAAAAATCAGATGCAGACTACTGGCCATTTGTTTTAGGTTCTTGATTTTGGGGAAAATTTTGGGGAACTTGTATGGCCTATGGAGTGTCTCCGAGGCAGAAGATTGGCCCCCAGACTCACCACAGTTACTCACCTCTGCCTTAGCAGAACAAAATATCCCATGGTCCTGTTGTGATACAGCAGGACACTTTATGCAGTGTGCCAAATTGTGTGTGAGAGAGAGAGCAGTAGGGAAGGAAATAATTCCCTTCCGCTCTTCAGCCCATGCACCATACTCCTGCTCGCTTATAGGAAGCCTGCTCTGTGAGAAGGGAAGCAGCGTATATGTTATGGGTGTTGCTGCATTTCCTGGACCCTACTCATGGTCGGTAATGCAGGGATGCAAAAGTACCCACCATGGTAATGTCTGGTCTCACAGATGTTGGAGATGGAGAGGAAGAGACTCAGCAGTTCGGAGGCTCTCATATAGTCTGGCTCATAGCTTAGTACAGTTCCTGTTTTGGATGAGCCAGGCTGGATGGGACTATAGTATCTAGGGGATATAGTCCAAAAAGTAACTTTTCCATGTTTAAGTCCTAGCCATGCATACATTTACACAGTGCTTAGTGAAACATGTAGTAGCAGCCAAGAGTGAGCCCTTTGTCTAGTCTTGTGAATATATAAAAATATTAAGTATGAGTAATGAGGACAACATCGGAATCCCCAAAGTTTCTTGATGAGTTCCCTAGGTGTAGATCTAATTTGTTTTTGCTGTCGTTAATTGACTTCGAGTTTACTTCAACTCATGGTGACTCTGTGGATGAGACGTCTTCAAATTTCTAATGATTTATTTTATAATTATTCTTTTTCCCCTATGGTGTGGCCAAAGAATGACAGCCTCAATTTAGTCATATTGGCTTCCAGAGAGAGTTCTGGTTTGATCTGTTCAAGGTCCCATTTATTTGTTGTCTTTGGCCACCCACAGTATCCTCAGCACTCTTCTCCAGCATCAGATCTCAAATGAGTTAGCATTCTTCCTATCGGCTTTCTTCACTGCCCAGCGTTTGCATCTGTACGTGGTGATGGGAAATACAGTGGTTTAAACTATCCTCACTTTAGTGTTTCGAGTTATATCTTTATACTTAATGATCTTGTCCAGTTCTTTCATAGCTGCCGTTCCCAAATGCAGTCTACTTCTAATTTCTTGACTGCAGCCTCAAATTGCTACTCCTGAATATAAATATAAATATAAATAATAGAAATAGAAACAAAAAACCAGATTGTCCCAATTAGAGTAGACCTACTGAAACAATAGAATTTGTTTTAATATTGGCTTGCCACTCTTAA